AGGCGGGGATCACAGTCGAGAGATCGAGACCATCCTGGTCAACATGGTGAAACTGCGTCTCTACTAAAGTGCAAAAAATTAGCTGGGCATGAGTGGCACGTGCCTGTATCACGGCTACTCAGGAGGCTGAGGCATGGAGAATGGCCTGAACCCAGGAGGCGAGGTTGCGGTGAGCCGAGATCGCGCCATGGCACTCCAGCTGGGTATACAAGGCAAACTCCGTCTCAAAAAAGATGACTGTTCTGAGGCCGGGCTTGCGCGTGGCTCAAGCCTGTAATCCAGCACTTGGGAGGCCGTAGCGGGTGGATCACAAGGTCGAAGATCGAGCCCATCCTGTCAACATGGTGAAACCTCGTCTCTACTAAAGTGCAAAAATTAGCTGGGCATGGTGGCACGTGCCTGTAATCACAGCTACTCAGGAGGCTGAGCAGGAGAATTGCCTGAACCCAGGAGCGGAGGTTGCGGTGAGCCGAGATTGTGCCATTGCACTCCAGCCTGGGTAACAAGAGCGAACTCGTCTCACGCCGGCGCGGTGGCTCAAGCCTGTAGTCCCACACTTTGAGAGGCCGAGGCGGTGGATCACGAGGTCAAGAGATCAGACCATCCTGGTCACATGGTGAACCCCGTCTCTACTAAAAATACAAAAAATAGCTGGGCATGGTGGCAGTGCCTGTGAATCCTAGCACTCAGGAGGCTGAGGCAGAGAATTGCTGAACCCAGAGGCGAGGTTGCGTGCAGCTGAGATCGCGCCATTGCACTGCCAGCCTGGGTAACAGAGACGAAACTCCGTATCAGAAATGACTGTTTAGCTCAAGTGGTTCTCCCACTTTGACAACACTTAGAATCACCTTCACATTTACTCATGCCTAGACTACACCCCAAGAATTAAATTAGAATTTCCGGGAGTGGGAACCCAGGCATTATAGTTATTTAAATCTTGCCAGGTGACTCCAACTGCGGCTAACGTTGCAAACTCTGCTTTTAGCTGGTAGCGGATTCTTGCGACCTTCCCAAGATGGCAGCCACTCACCCGCTTCCGTCTTACGTGCGCCGGCAGGGGGCGGGCTTCCCAGAGCGCATGCGTCCTCCTCTCCTCACTCCCTGTTCCCTCCTCCTTTTTCCCCTCCTCCATTTTGTTCGCGGACGCTGGGGACGGTGGGAGCAGATCCATTTCCGGTTGGCAAAAGGGGCGGCGGCGGCGGCGGCGGGGCGAGAGAGAGAGAGAGCTTGCCGGGGGCGAGCTGTACGGACGAAGTCGGAGCGTAGCGTGGAGATTCGCTCCCAGAGCACCTGCGGCCAGGTTGGAAAGAGGCCATGGCGGACTGGGTCGGTCGCTGAAAATGACCTGCGGACCTGCCTGGAGGCAAAGCCGGGGAAGTGGGCTCGGGTGCGTGGTCTTGGGAGAGGGGTGCATTGAGAGGGCTGGAGGGGGAGAGGGTCTTGCGGGCGCGGTGGAGGGGCGGAGGCCTAGGGGCTGGATCGGAAGAACCTGAGGGGAGATGGCGTGGGGAATCTGGGGAGGAATGGTCCGGGTACTGGTCTGGGGCGAGCGCGTACTGGGAAAATGGGAGTGAAGGATTTGAGAGACAGGTAATAAGGGCTCCTGAAGGGATTGGGTGAGTGGTGAGGAGACACTCAGGGTAAGGAACGAGATAATCGTGTGCAAAAAGGGAGACGAGAACGGAGGACCTGTTGGAAACAGCTAATTAGCAGGATGCTGTGGGTGAGTAGCCCAATGTGACATTTGTGGCATTGAGTTAGGTGACAGGTAGAGGTTGGAAGATGGCTAGGAAACTGCTTACACTAAGGGATCTTGAAAGCGTTGGGATCTGAGAGCGTTGGTTAAAAGGAATCAGAATAGAGTTAAAGGTTGATTGAGAATGTTGAGATGCACATTGGAACGTCTAGAGTGAGGGTTCATGTTGAAGTGGGGTGTGAAATGAGGGAAGATGGAATTTTTTTTCTTTTTGTTTGAGATGGAGTCTCTCTCTTGTTGCACCCGTTTGATCTCGAACTCCTGGGGTTCAAGCGATCTTCCTACCTCGGCCCCCCCAGAGTTGTTGGAATTACAGTGTGAGCCACTGCCCCAGGCCCACGATGGAAATCTTAAGTGTTCAGCATGGCAGTGGTATGGTCGAGTTTTTGATCAGGAGGAAAGTTCCTTTTTGTTTTTTTTTTTTTTTTGAGACGTAATCTCGCTATGTCT